TTAAAACATGAAAAAAAGGGGAAGAAGCTTATGTAGTGGAAATTCAGTGTAGCTAACTTCTAATCCAGATCCCAATATTTGGTACATGGATTCTTGTGCTTCGTACCACATGACTCCACATAAAGAAATTATTAGATGATTATCAGGATGCTAGGTATTCATCAAATAAAAACAGGAAGTTCAGTAATAGAAGTAGAGGGTAAGGGTAAAATAACTTTCCTCTTTATCTAGAAATAAAAAGAAGGCAGTCCGTAACTTTTAGTAATGTTTTACACGTTCCAAAGTTAACAGCAACAGCCAATTTGCTGTCCATTAAGTATTTAAATAAAGTATTTGGAAATGGTTAGTACTTTTACAAGTGAAAGATGTTTTGTGTATGATGGTAAAAATTTAGTTGCTACTGGAACAGGTACGGGAGATAATTTGTATTCTCTTGATTTATGTAATGAATGGCCTTTAATTACTGCTAAAAATATTTCAAATGAATTATTACATAAAAGAGTGGGCCATTTAAGTGAAGGAGGAATGACCAGATTAAAAGATATTGTCAAAGGTTTTACATTTAACGGAAAATTGTTAAATTGTGTGTCATGCATTAAAGGCAAAATGCATAGACAACCATTTCCCAAGGGAAAAGCTAAGCGTGCTAAAAGAGTTGCTTAGGCATAGTACACAGTGACCTGTGTGGGCCTATGAATGTTTCATCAATTGGTGGTTTCTCGCTACCTTTATTAGTTTTATTGAATGATTTGTCGCGAATGACTTTCACTTATTTTTTGAAAAAATAAGTCTGAAGTCTTTGAAAAATTCAAAATATTTCAAGCATTTGTTGAAAGGCAAACTGGCAAAGCAATCAAAATCTTACACTCAAATAATGGTACTGAGTATGTAAACAATGAGATGGATAACTATTTAGCATCAAATGGAATTCAGCATCAAAAATCTATTCCATTTACACCAGAGCAAATGGGTGTAGCTGAAAGTAGTAACAGAACTCTTGTAAAGCGAGCACGATCAATGTTGCTGGATGCTCACCTTGATCAAAATTATTGGGCTGAAGCAGTGCAGACTGCAAATCACTGTAAAAATCTATCTTCAACTATTGCAGTTGCAGGTATGACCTCTTATGAAAAATGGTATGGGGATAAGCCAAATTTAGAATACTTGAGAGTGTTTGGATGTCGTGCATTTGCTCACATTCCAAAACCAAAACGGAAAAAGTGGGATATAAAAGCAAAGGAATTAATGCTTGTTGGGTACTGTCAAGATAGAAAAGGCTATCGGTTAATAGATCCCAAAACTTATGAAATAATAAATGCACGAGATGTACAATTTTTGGAAAATGAAATGTACTACAAAAGGGCAAGTAATATGCCAAAATTCTATGATGAATCCTCATTCAGTGGGAGCGTGATTACGATATTTTCAGATACTGAGAATGCAATAGCTGATGATCAGAACGGTGAAATGGAAGGGATGGTTAATGATAATACTCAGTCTGATCATGAATTAGTTAATACTAGTATTAATTCTAATCACGATGAACATAATACTGCTCAAAATGATAGCCATGATAACAGTAGTGTAGTTGATGAGCTACCTACATTGACTAGAAACAGAAAACTTAGATTTCCAAAGAGTTATCAGGACTTTGACACACATGGGATGCCAGAAATGCTAATGTCAAATTTAGATTGTATGTGCTTTGTTAAAGCTTTGGCAGCAACAACAAATGGTGTGTATTTTGAACCGAAAACCATTGATGAAGCATTAAGGGGCAATGATGCAAACCATTGGAAGAATTCTATATGTGAGACTATATTAGGCCATATTAAAAACAAATGGGAAATAACAGATAAACCTTATGATAAGAACATTGTAGATTGTAAATGGGTTTTCAAAATTAAATGTAATTCAGTAGGCAAGATTGAAAGATATAAAACACGTTTAGTTGCTAAGGGCTATTCTCAGATTGAGGGAAATAGATTATACTGAAAACATTTGCACCAGTTGTCCGATACGTAACATTAAGAGTTTTATTAGCTTACGCAGCTATATATGATTGGGAAATTGACCAAATGGATGCTGTAATGGCTTTTGTACAGGGAACTTTAAATGAAGACATTTATATGAAAATTCCAGACGGTTTCAGTGAATTTTACAAGCAAAAGTTAAAGGGAAAGGTCCTAAAATTAAACAAAGCATTAGATGGTTTAAAGCAGAGTGGTAGACTATGGTACCAACTGTTAGAAAAGGGTTTAATAGAAATGGGACTGAGGCAAAGTTCTTTTGATAGTTGTGTCTATATTAAAATAAATGAAAATAAAGATCTTGTTATTGTTACTATTTATGTTGATGGCTTACTCATTTTTAGTAATAACATAGAACTTAAAAATGGGTAAAACAACAACTTAAAGAAAAATTTGAAATGAAAGACTTGGGACCAGCAAATTATTGCTTAGGAATTAAAAAATTGAACGAGATATAACTAAAGGGTCCATTAGCCTTAGTCAAACTCAGTATGTAGAGAGTATGCTTTGCAAATATAATATGCATGAATCTCATGGTGTAAAAACACCATTAGACCAAAATCAAGTGTTATCTAAACTGCAGATACCAACTAGTGAGGAACAAAAGCTACCTGTTCCTTATCAGGCTGCCATTGGGAGTCTTCTTTATGCAGCTCAAGCAACACGGCCAAATATAACTTATGCTGTGAATTTCCTTAGCCAGTTCTCCAATAATCCGGCAAGGGTTCACTGGAATGCTGTCAAGCGCATCATGCGGTATCTTCGAGCCACTACAGATGCTACATTGTCTTTTTCAAAGGACTGTAGTGCTGATGTCCTTGGTTACAGCGACTCAAACTATGGAGGTGATGCTGGGGATCGAGGATCAACCACTGGATATGTTTTCCTCATCGGAGGTGGTGCAGTGTCATGGTGTAGTAAGCGTCAACCTACCATTGCAACTAGTACAACAGAAGCCAAATATATGGCTCTTTCTGCAGCTACTAAAGAAGCCATATGGCTCAACAAAATTGTTAAAGAACTTGGGATTATTACTGCAAAGCCAGTATTATTATACTACGATAACAACAGTGCTATTAATCTCAGCAAAAATAGTGCGTATCATGGTAGATCAAAGCATATTGATATACAACATCATTTCGTGCGAGAAGCTGTGAAACTTCAGCACATTGACATACAATATAAGACTACTAATGATATGATTGCAGACTTTTTGACAAAAAATGTAAACAGTGCAAAACATGAAATGTGTGCAAAAATGATGGGTTTAAACTGAAGACCAATGTAATTTAATGTTTTATTATATGTAAGTGTGCTGATGTAATTTCTCATTGTATTTAATTAGGATGATATTTAAACCTAAAGTGGGAGTGTAAAAAAGGTTAGCTTTAAATATGTTCTTGGCCCATAGATGGTGCCACTGTTTTTTATATTCTTCTATAACTATGCACTCCAATAAAACTTCACTTGTGTTCCAAACTCCCAACAGGTATGTTGTGTATTATTTATTCTCATGCATGCAAGTAACCACTCTCTGCTATATTGAGTTTCTAATATTTTTTCGCCCTTGAATTTCAGACATACAGTTACTAAATTTTATCTCGCTGAATATTTAACTTTACTTAAAAAAAGCAGATTTGTATACATTTTTACGTATATATTGTTCATTCAAAAAACGAAATCTTTCCAGAAAATAACATCCATTTTAAAAACTAAGTAAATTTCAGCATTAAATACGCCTGAAAAGTTAAAATTTTGAAATCTCCTTAATATTTAACTAGAGTTAATTTAAAGAGCAAGTTTAAAAGCCACATCAAGTTAAATTGATTAAATTTGGCAGAAATAATAAAACAGATGTTTTTCAGAATAATTATACAAAATATTATGCTAAATATGTACAAAATATCTATCTATAAATATCTATAAAATCTAATAAATATCCATAAATAAAAGGCATTATTTAAAAAAAATAATATCTGCATGTAAATGAAGAATATAGGAAAATGTTGAAAGATTTAAAGATTTTTAATTTATGACAAAAACACAGAAAATCAGAAATAGTATCAAATGGAATCGAACTATAAATATTGCTTTCCAAATGTTTCAGGAATCTCACAGAAAAGAATGAATATTGCACCAGATATTTTTAATATGGATTTTATTAAAAGCAGTTTCACCAATCTGCATTGAAATTCATATGATAATTAATGACCCAGAGATTTAGGTAATTTAGATTAACCATTTATAATAATTAAAAAAACAGCGGGTAAATTTTAAAGCCAAGTTGTTTCAAAATAAGAGGAAAGAAAACTTTTAAGATAGTATTCGTACGTGTACCCTGCAGCATTTCAGATGGTCATCATGGAGAAACGAGTCTTTTGAAACTTTCTTGACAGCTCACATCTACGGGTACTAATATTTATGGTAGTAATCCATCTCACTTACAGTCGGAACCCTTGATCAAGTGTTCTGGGAGGGAAAAGAACTAACAATAGCAATAGCTGGCATTTTTCAGAGGTTTAGGATTATTTTCCTGACATTTTAAGGGCTAAAATTAGTGAAGTTTTTAAAGGTATTCGTAGAAAATCCCTCGACAGGCTAAGGGTTAATCAACAGCTACAGCTTTTATAATGAGTTAGAAAACACAATACAAATCCAATATTTTTAAATAAAAAAATATTCTTTAAACTCTACATTAAAGAATCAAGGGAACATTTTAAGCACTTAAAGATAGTAACAATTGGAAGATATAATGAGCACAAATAAACACTTTAGAGTGTTATTAATATTTATATAAAAAAGCAACAAATTCATAAAAAACATATACTCCACATGCACTTTAGTTAAATAAATAAAAAATAAATAAATAAAAAATAATAATAATAATAAATAAATAAATAAATAATAATAATAATAATAATAATAATAATAAAAAACAAACAGAGAAGAAGAAAAGGGGGGAAAAATCAATACCTCTTGCTTCATTCTTATAATCTTTACATGCTTTTCTTGAAATGCAGCTCTAATTGCATGCACAGATCGCAGAAGTTGACAATTCTTTTGAAAAGCTGAAGCATGTGGATACTGAAAAATAAGCAAGTGAATAAAGAATACATTAGAAATCAAATTATATTTCCCATTTCCAAAACAGAAAATACATATCTTTTAGATTATCTGAAGTAAAGTGATGCTTTCCTCATTTCAACTATTTAATTAGAACACTATAATACTTTCACATTTACATGTATAATATAAAAGATTTCTTTAAAGTTCTCTAATGCATTCAAGTCTTTAATCCGGATGTCCACAATCTGGAATGATCTATAATCCGGACATCAAAGCTACAAACTTTCTGTGCATAATACTTTTACGCATGCGCATATGCATTTATGCATGCTTGTTTAATGTATAACAGATGGTATAAGCTAAGCTAAAATTATCTAATTATCTATTTCAGTTAATGTTGCAGATTGCGTTGTTTTTTAATCTTCTAATTGGATCCGGCTTATTATTTTTTGCAGACTGTTAGAGCAATTTTATAAAAGTAAGCTTGAACTTTCGACTATGTCAAAAAGAATTTCCGATTCTGCAGCTGCCAAAGGATCTACAAAGCGAAAGCATGTTTCGACGTCCATCAAACAAAAAGTGGAATTGCTACAAAAAATGGACAAAGGCATATCCTTTGTTTCTCTAACCATTCCGAAAACTGTTTATCAATTTCACGCTGCTCTCTGTGTGTGGGGGGGGGGATGTCGCGGCGCGCAATGAACTGGAAGTTGATCTGTCAGCACTATCCTTATCTTCAAGGCAGATGTTTTTATTTTATTCAGCTCATAATTCCTTACTAAAAAGAGTATTTCATCTCGATTTATTCCGTCTTTGATATGATTTAAATTAAATTCCTTGTCATTATAAATATCATGAATACACATCAAATAGTTTTTTGGTTGTGATTTTCTAATTTCGACTATGCGTAATGTATGCTTTATGCATGCGGGCGTTGAAAGAAATGTTTAATAAAGTAAACAAATAAATATTAAGCTTTTTTTTGTAAATTTTGATACCCTTTAGGTCATAATTGCTCTTTATTTCATAAATTGCAGTTTCATATTTTTAATTTTATAATTTCTGCATGCCATCTTACCAGATTTAAACTGATGATATATAATCCGGAATTGTTGAAATCGCAACGAGTCCGGATTAAAGACTTTTGACTGTATAACTATTTTCTGCCTAAGCCCAAAATCTATTTTCCTACTTGAAATAACTGTATTATTTGAAACTTACTTATTTTTCGCATTTATTTATAGGAAAATCTAATAGAGTCACCTCTATGTGCATGCACAGACATCAATAATGGAGACATGAACAAGCCCACAGCTGTTGCACAGATTACTTAGACGATATCCATGCACACCTCGAAAAGATACTTTAAAAATTGGGTTTCCATTCCATTTTCATTTAATGCGGAAATCATTTCCTTTTTTTGTGAACTGTTTATATGTATTCTCTCTTGATGATCATGCTATTAACCGCAGAATTTCACTGTTTGTGTCAATGGATTAAAACTGAAGAAAAATTGTTTCAATTAATTTCATCATTTAGACTTATAAAAAATTAGAGAAACGAAATTAATTTTAACATGATTATAGTAGCATTTTTCTTTTCCCTAAAAAGGTGTTCTGAGATTCTGCTTTTTAACTGTAATTATCTTGTTTAAAATTATGAATTAAGATATTCAATGTCGTCACAATAAAAGGTATTATCTTTTAGATATTATTATGCATGCATACAGGTTAGTAATAGATTGAATGCTCGCATTATGCATGATAGCTTGATAAAATTTATTCTACCCAAAGAAACACTACACTCCTGAAACTTTTAACAAAAATACTTGTACAGTTCTTCTCAGTATCACAGAGCCCAATCTATAGTTGCATCTCAAACTACTAAGAATGTTTAACACAACCTAATGCAAAGTACATCTAAAGAGCAATATTCCCAAAGTTGATGCTGAACTGAAAACTGATGCTTTCTCTGAGATTATATAGTTTTATCCTGGCTGTCAAGAAAAATTAGTTGCCAAATCCAACACCAGCTTGGCAATATCTCACCAATTTAGTGAGACAGTCATTTAAACTAAACTAAATTCAGTGGCCCTAGCCAGCAATGCTCCGAAATCTGCTTTCTTGACCGTGGGCCCAGCGATGCGTGAGCATATGCCCCGAACAAGTGGTCAGCTTGTCGCAGAACCCCCAGTGTTTAGTCCTCAAGCAAACTTGGTATTCAATTTATCGACCCCAGGGATGGAAATCAAGGGATGAAAGGCTGAGTTGACCTTGCCCAGCGCGGGGATTGAACCCCGGATCTGTGGTGCTGCTGCGCGGTCACCTTTGTAGAATCGATGTCATATAGCTCTTGTGCTATATGGGATCTTCATCTTCCCTGTTGCAAAGCTGACTTGCTCTCATGCAAAATTTTGCATCACTTCAAACCGTACCTGGAGATCTTGAAATGTAATTCTCAGGCAATGAAGGCATATCTGGAGGGCAACCAAACAACAGACCAATAGGCAGGCGAAGGTCCTGACTAAAGAGCATCTGGGATGGGGAATAGTTGGTAGTCTCTGGACAGCAATGTAATAAGTCGATAAGAACAGACGTAGCTTTTGCTTCCAGTTCTGTTGATTTCAGGAAACCATCTTTCAGATATTATTATGGATGATTCGATTAAACCTCTCTACAATGCGTATGATCACAGATGTAGAGGCATTGTTTGGGTTCTGTTTATGCTGAGTACTCCAGAGAATTCCTTAAGAATTTCTTCAGAGAACCCATGATAAAATTTCTTCCTCGATCAAACTAAGAGATACTAAAAAGGCTAACTAAAGAGGCATTCCAAAACTGGAAATCAAATGCTGTATTATAACCTCTGATACCATGACAGGTGCTTGATCAGAGTTAGGATATGCTTCAGGCCACTTTGTAAAGCAATGAATGCCAAAGATGATGTATTTGCTACCATCAGCAGATTGTGGTTGAGCTCCCAGGATATCAAAGGCGATGCATTCAAAAGGTGGTCCTACACTGTAATGTTACACCCGCCCTTGGTTGCATTTCTTCAGTACTTTCCGGCTTACACAGCCATTGCAAGATTGACACCCTTACTATATGTCAGTCCTTGCATTATGCCAGTAGAAGCACTCTCAAACTCAATGCAAAACCTTCATTATTTCAAAATGGCCTTCTGTTGGACTGTTATATAATTCTTTATTTACATCCGGGATCTCCAAAGTATCAGTTGTATTGGAATAGTTTTACATCATCTGATTCAAACTCCTCCTACAAGATGTTGTTTTGAACATGAAGCGAGTCCCAGAGAGTCCAACATTGTTTTGCCGTAGAACTACAGATCAAAATATTCTGCCAGGTATGTTTCCTATTTAAAGACCCTGTAGCGAATAGTTTATCCAACAGATGGCAGTATCTGCCAAGCTCCTTTGGTAATTGTCATTGCGCATGCTCAAGCGGAGTGTAAAAAGAAGTATGTTATTAGGAGAATGAGCTTTCGTTAATAATGTTGCTGCGCGTTTTCGCTGTGTAAATAAAGTATATTTTTATATCATAGATGTTCTTTACACTCTCTAATGCGAAGCACTAGGTTAGTGCACAAATCTCTTCTGATTCAGAAACCATTTTCAAACCGTGGATCACCACAGACCCTATTATATCAATTATGGGTTTAATGTTGCCATCTTCCAACTACTCTTTTATAACTTCATCACTACATGGGTCTCGAAAAGCTTATGTTGAAGCTGTAACCTGACTATGTGAGCGGATTCACCAGTTTGTATTTTGTTTTGATTCTGGAACAATACTGGCAGCTTTCTGGGAAGGGCATCAGTGTTCCTCTGTGATATTTCTTTCCTATGGGGATGCATAGTCACGTCGTATTCCTGGAGTCTCTGTACCCATCTGGCTATTTGGCATTCAGGATTCTTGAAATTTAATAGCCAAGTCAAGGATGCATGGCCTTTGTGGAGCAGCAATTTTCTGCTATAGATGTAATGGTGGCAATGTTTCACGGCTTTAACTATGGCGAGCAACTCTATTCTGGTCAACTCTATTCAAACTATCATAATTCCTCTGCAGCTTAGATAAACACTTGCTCCAGAATTCTACGTTATGTTCTTGACCATTTATTTCTACAAAAGAGCACCAACACTCTCGTTGCTCGTATCTATATCGAGAATAAATGGTTTTCTGAGCTGAGCATACATCAAATTTATCACAGATGTTAAACCCTTCATCATTTTGTTAAATGCATCCTCACATTCTTAAGTCCACAAGAACTTTTGCGTGTTCTGTGTCAGTTTGTTAAGGGGTCTAGTGATGGAAGAAAAATCCTTTACAAATCTCCTGTATTAGGTGCAAAACACAAAATGTTTCCATCAATGGAAATTTTTGGGATGTCTCCAATCTTTAACTGGTGACAGGTTTTTTGAATAGACACATACCTTCGTCAGAGATGACATGGCAAATTCACTTCCTATCTGAACAACTTACATTTGGCAGCTTTTACCTTTAGATTGGCTTCCTTCAAATTTGAAGCACCTTCCTAATGCTCTTCAAAACTTTTTCTGATGATAATGAAGCCATCCAAATATATAAGACATGCTTCTTATTCTTTATATGTATTTAATGCTCTGCAAAAGGTGGTTTAAAGATTTCTTTAAAAGTGTTGGGAACATGTTAATTCTCCAAATTTGTAATTGAAATATTGATAAGAGTATGTTTTCCCCCCTACGTTGTGCAGTTTAAAATTGCATGCAAACATGGCAAGATATTTAAGCTGTAAAAATATCAAATAACGTTCATTTTGTCCTTTTTTCATATAATCTATATTATGAAAAGCCTAGTTATCACATGCTTATTAGAAGCAAGTAAGATCAAAATATGGTAATTGAACATGTAAATGTTGATATTGGCAGCAAACAAAAAGTTAAAAGTTTAAGTCTATTGGACGGGGGGAAAAAAGAAATCGTTTGAGGTTTTTTTTTTTTTTTTTTTTTTAATTAATCATAA